TTTCTGATGAAGGGTCTAGGCCCGAAACGTCAGCCTTTCTGCTCCTATGATGCTGCTTGGCCTGCTGTGTTCATCCAGCTCTGCACCTTGTTGTCTCAGATTCTCCAGCATCTGCAGTTCCTGCTATCTCTGTTGATCCATCAGTTTTCTTCTGTAGTGGCTGTGATATATTGGCTCCCAAATACATCTATGAAACCCTTTTGCGTCCATGCTTCTCCCTGTGTATAATTTCCTCCAGCTCCTGCTGCCTTCGAAGATGTCTGTTCAATTATTTTTGACCATATCAACATGTCTGATTTTCATCCACCATTAGAAACTATGCCTCCAGTTTCCACAATTGTAATTTCCTAAACCTTTCTACTTCTCTGTGAAATCATACATTAAATCTATACCTTTGTCCAAGCTTTTGCTTACGATCTGAAAGCGAGGCCTCACTTCACCAGACGAAGGTGCCGTGCTCCGAAAGCTTGTGTTTTCAAGTAAACCTATTGGACTATAACCTGGTGTCGTGTGATTTCTGACGTTGTCCACCCCAATCCAACACCAACACCTCCACCTCCACATCATTATCAATAAAGATTCACTGTTGTAAAATAAGTTTGTTAAAGGGTGGGGGAAGAATAAAATGCATCTGTACAGATTAAATATTTTGTTGGCGTTGCAAAGTTGAGTAGAGTATTTGTGGATTGGGAGGCAGGATGTTAGAATTTGGTATGTGTAAAATGCTAGTGGGTAAAGGCATTGTGTGGTCCCTTTTAAAGATTGTGCTTTTTCTATGCTTGGAGATGTCTGTGAGCAGCTTGAAAGTTTACAAGTATAGAGATCACCTGAATTGAAACATTTGTAACAAAAGGCCAAGCAGCATTTTTACCAAGACAACAAGTTTTTGAATTTAGCCAATCAATTTGAACCAGGCACTCTGATACCAAAAACCTATCAAATTTGAATCTGGTGGTTTTGACAACCTAGGACCAATCTGATTATAAGAAGTTGATATGTTGTTGGGGTATAAGAGAAGAGGGCAATTGGACAAAGACAGGAGAACTGACTGCCATTAACAGCTGTCAGCTCTCGAGAGAATCGCTGGCTCTCACAGACTCCTGTAAGTCTTAGAAAAAGTGCCATCTAAATATCAAGGGTACCAGTGGTTCAACTAGATAATATTCCTGACAGAAGAATCGACGGAGGAGGTGTTCCTGACAACATTCGATGGAAAAGGCACAGAGCGTTCCAGAAGACCCGTAATCTGGCTGTAATTTCAAGAGACTATATTCTTTTCTAATTTTATTTTATACAAGTGGGAATTGTATTTAATGGAACAGCATACTATTACAATCTTGCTTTATTCAGGAATATGGTAGTTAAGAGTTTATTCAATTTGTTAGTGGTTTAGTTAATTTGTTCACTGTTAGATAAATAAATTGTTACTTGTTTATTGTAAAGTGAGTGTCAGAGGTTTATTTAATCACTAGAAGTTGCTGAAAGGCAGGTTACACCACTTTTCACGCTCCTTTTACAGATTATAGGGCGAGGTGCTCCTCTTTGGGTGTTTTGGTTCCAGAAGTGGCGGGTCAACCACTGCTTTGTAACAGTTGGGAGAATTTGCTAGCATGCACTTGTTGATAATGAAGTGGACTGTATTTCAAAGCTGCTTTCTTGTTTACAGATGCAACGGAGAGGTTCCTGTGTGAAGCGGTTTTCAGCTATCAGGTGGCTCACACATTGAGGCAGGTCAAACGAGGTAAAGTCACGTCCCATGATGGGGAGGTGATGGCATAGTTGTAAGTCAATGGATTTGTAATATAGAACCTCATGCTAATGTTCTGGGATCATAGGTTCATATCCTGCCAAGGGATGGTGAATTTTGTTGTAATAACCCTCTGGTTCACTAATGAGGGAAGAAAATCTGCTGTCCTCACCTGGTCTGCATGTGACTTGGGACCCATAGCAATGTGATTGACTCTTGGAATTAGGAATGGGAAATAAATCCTGCCTCAGTCAGTCAGGCCCACGTTCTATTAATGTTTTTTTAAAAACTGAGGTGATACTTAGTCATTCCTTTGTGTTTGTGAGGGTTCCATTCCTGAGAACGCAGAGCTTTCTCTCTAGGTAAAAACAGGTTAAACTCGCAGATATGTGTGTATTGCCTGCAGATGTTAAATTTTGTTATTGTTTTTAGCACAGATAGGCAAATTCATGATTTTATGAAGAGGATTTACAGTAATCACAATTAGGAATGGGCAGCAAAGGCTGGTCTTACCAGCAGTTTAAAGAATGAAAGAAAAAACACATTTATCCTCAAAAAATGTGATGTACCTTCAGTTTTCTTTCAGAACATCCAGACAAGGACCAGTAGGTCATTTGGCCCTTTGAGTCTGCTTTGCCATTCAATATAGTTTTGAATCTTTCGTAAATGGATGAACGTTTTTTTTAAGTGACTATTGTTTACTGAATTGTTCTCATGATGGAAATGTTAACTTTAAATAATACTTTACACGTTCTCTCAAAATGCCACCAAGTGATACGTGCAATCGATTAATTTGATACCAGTAAGTCATTTTCAAATGTAGCATGTGCTTTGCCTCAAGCAATATTGAGACAAATGAGTAATCAGTTTCTTATTGAGCAATAACATTTGAAAATTTGATAACAATATCCAAGAAATTTATATAATTCATATTCCATGTTATTCATAACTTGTGTGCAAATAGTTTTTTCCCATGGATGAAATTGGAAATTTGTCAGGTATAAATCTTCAATGTCTCCAAGCACCAAACTGTCACTTGAGACAAACTAGCCAGGTGAGCACATCTTTCCCCTGAAACTAAACTTTCCCCTTTTCTATATTAAAAAGCTAAACCAACCTTTGGGATGATGTCTATTTGGGAACCTGAACAAAACGGTGAACTAGCAATCAAAAGTATTTCTGCCGATCAGAATTTCATTCATTCATTCTTCCCCACTTAGAGCAACAGTGTTCCCGAATGGAAAAACTAGCCAGTTTGGTCGAGGAATTAGAGGCGGATGAATGGCGCTACAAACCAATCGAACAACTGCTGGGTTTCACTCCTTCTTCTGGATGAGATGACAGACTGGATTTCTTTCACCAATTCAAAAGCCTTTACGCTCTTTGCCAAATTGTAACTGGGAGATTAAACACAATTATTTTTCTTTGTAAAAATGTGTGCTAGTGAGTGTTTAAATACTGTTTTAAATGTACATAACAGACATGGGCATTATATTGGTGTCATTTAAGACTTTTTAAAATGATGTATAGATCTGTGAGCTGAACTGTTAATAAATTGACATTTTATAAATTTCTTGGGCTGGATGCTAAATTCAGACATTAAGCATTTAGATTGCAAGAGGATCTGGTGGTTTAAAGAGCTGGAAAACTGATAGATCAAGTAAAATATACTCATGTGTTTTGAAGGCCACATGCAGTGGATAATTCTCCAGCAATCTACTGATCATATATGGATCTCAAATCAAGAACGAGGAAAAAGTGTTTGGGCAGCGAGTGATAGATTAATGACAAGCAGGAGGGAGATTCCACAATTGCAAGTGTTTCTCTTCCAGAGATCCAAGGTTTATTGGCAATGCAGAAACATATCATTCAATAATCCTTTCATTGTTAAATACTGAAGACTGTTGCAGCATTTAAATTTGATTTGTTTAAACGGTGTGAAAGCAGCATTATGAAACTTGCATGGAGGTTGTTGCCGAGCATCACATCATTCAGCAACTAATGGAGCTTCACAATATTGTCTCTTTCGAAGTACAAAGGTTGGAGTTGTTTTACATTGTTAATTACTTTACCATTAAACTCAAGCTTATCCATTAGCCATTTCAACTCCTTGCCAGTGATGGCTCAGTGGATAGCGCTCTGGCCTCTAAACAAGAAGTTATGAGTTCAAATCCCACTCTGGAAACTTCAGTGCAAAAATATTACACAGTACAAAAGGACAGCTGCATTGCCAGAATACTTGTCTTTCTGCTAAGACCTTAAACTAAGGTCCTGTCTCTTCTGAAGTGCAGTTTAAAAGATCACAGGGCATTATCCCACAAAACAGAAACCTCTCTCTTAGCTAATTGCTAAATTAGACCATGGTCATTTGCTATTTATGGGAATAAAGAAGAATAAAAGCATGGACTATTTTCTAAATGGGGAGAAAATTCAGAACTCTGAAGTGCAAAGAGACTTGGGAGTCCTAGTCCAGGATTCTCTCAAGGTAAACTTGCAGGTTGAGTCAGTAGTCAGGAAGGTTGGCATTTATTTTGAGGCGACTTGAATATAAAAGCAGGGATGTACGCCGGAGGCTTTATAAGGCTCTGGTCAGGCCACATTTGGAGTATTGTGTGCAGTTTTGGGCTCTATATCTCAGGAAGGAATGTACTGGCCCTGGAGCGGGTTTAGAGGAGGTTCACGAGAATGGTCAGCGTAACATAATGAGGAATGTTTGAGGACTCTGGGACTATAGAAAGATCTAATTGAAACTTTGAGAATACTGAATGGCCTGGACGAAATGGATGTTGGGAAGATGCTTCCATTGGTAGGAGAGTCTATGATCCGAGGGCACAGCCTTAGAGTAAAGGGAAGACCTTTTAGAACGGAGATAAGGAGAAACTTCTTCAGCCAGAGAGTGGTGAATCTATGGAATTCACTGCTGCAGAAGGCTGTGGAGGCCAGGTCATTGAGTACATTTAAGACTGAGATAGGTAGGTTCTTGATTATTAAGGGGATCAAGGGTTACGGGGATAAAGCAGGAGAATGGGGTTGAGGAACTTATTAGCAATGGCGGAGCAGACTCGATGGGCCGAATGGCCTAATTTCTGCTCCTATGTCTTATGGACCGACTTTATTAGCTATTATACTCTGAGCAAAACACTTGCAGCCGAGATGGTCTACTACTGTTCCTTTGTAACGTATACCAAGCCAGACACAGTGCTCCAAGAAATGATTTCTAATGAATAATGACGTGGACAATTAAACAGAGGTATGGGTATTTTCACAATACAGATTTATTTCTATTGAAGAGCAAAATAAGTTACAACTGATTTCAGCCCCTGGATAAAGTACAATGTATATACAACTATAAATAATTTCCAAATCATTAATTCAACATATGCTGATTTGCTCCATTAGAAGTGACTAGTGCACATGTACAAACTTGGTTCATGTGTAGTCATGTCTCTCCTGCTTTGCATTGTGTCGGTCTCCTCCCCAAACGAGTGTATCACAGTCTACACGGCAGGGTGCTGGCGGGGAGGCGTTGGCTCTGTTTGCTTCAGTTCATCAAAAAAGTCCATTGGTGGGGGTTTGCTCATAGGCTAGTGAGTATTTTCAGAAATGCTGCTGGCTAATCAAAATCCAGTCTTAAGACAATTTCAAGGGTCTTGTTTTTTTTTAAAGTAGTCATCTCCCATCGCTATACCATGTGTGAAGACAGGAAAAGGGAGGAATAAATAAATAATTTCAAAGAGTAATGAGTTGACAAAATACAGACCACATCTACCTATCATGTAAATTAATCAAGAAGCATTTGATTCCCCAAGATCTCTTTGTTGAAGGCAGCTCTCCCTTACTCTATTAATCTTCCCATAGTCCTACTCCAGAACTTGTGCACAGAAATCAAGGTGGACATTTCAATGCAGTACTGTATTGAATGAGAACTGCAACATCAGAGGTGCAAACTTCCAGATGTCTGCTGTCTCAGGTAGATAGGAAAGATCTCCTGGCATTGCCTGAAGAGGAGCAGGCAATTATCCTTACTGTCTTGGTCACTATTTATCCCATAATCTTTTATCATCGGTGTAGATTATCTGATCATTATCCCACTGTTCAGACTTTGATGTGTAAATTGGCTGTCACATTTTCTAAAATACAACATCAACTACACTTCCTCAGTCCTTGTCAAACTATACCTAAATTCTCTTGATTTAGCTGTGTGGCATTTTTCTCCAAAGGAACAGAAGGAGCTTGATTCTGAGAGTCTTAATCATGCTCATGAATTTCTGTATCTGCTGGACATGCAAAGAAATAAAGGACAATGAATGTTGGTAACTATAGGACATACCTGGTCTCCAGTTATTGATGTGGTAGACTCCATTCTAACCATGCAGGGAAGCCTGCACTTCTGATAACCTGGTACAGCTTGGTGTGCTCATTTTCTGGGCCCTCTGATAGAGATCCACATCTCCAAAATAGCGAGCACGATATAACAAACCCTCTTCTGTAGAGACAAAATAAAAATGTTAATAAGCATGGCCAGATTTATATCAGAATACACATTGTGATTTTGCATTATTGGCAGCACAGACTTCATCTTTAGCAACTTTGGCAGAAGAGAATAAATACTGATTTATCCGCAGTATTTTTCAACATCTCAAAATGTGATTAACTATTTTAATGTACAGTGATTTAAGATGGCAAAAACAACAGCCACTTTAGAAGCAGTACAACCAACAAAGATGAAAAGAGATAAACGACAATTTATCAGTTTTTAGTGAAGTTGAGAAGGGTTGAAGATTAGTCAAATAGCTCTGTGCTCTTCAAATAATGTTATGATCCCCTGGAATCACAAGCCAGCAAGATATAATCACCATTCATGTTCACTGATGTATCAAACACCCTGCAATTCCGCAGTCCTCAGCAATGGGAGTGTGCATGACTGGAACATCGTCAACGACCAGGTTCCTTTCCAAATCCTAAGCTATTCCAAATTGGGCACATGCTAATGTTCCTTCATCACTATTGGATGAAAATCTGGAACTCTCTACCTCACAATATGTGGTAGCTCCTCTATCACATGATAAGCAGCAGTTGAACAAGGTGGTTCTCTGCCATCTTTTCGAGGGTAAACAGGGAAGGGGGAGTAAATGCTGGTTGCCACATCCCAAGAGTAATGAAGAAAGCATGTGATATTAAAATAATTAGAGTTACAGGGAAACAAAATGCTTTTACTTTGTTGATGCCGGCACAGTTAATCTGCATCTTATGGACTGCACACTGCTTTAACTTTGCCTTAGCCAGTTTATTCTACATGTAATACTATTCAACTCCCCACTCCCTATGCATCACTCACTCTGCTGTTTCTCCTTCCAGCAGTTATTCCGCAAGTTTGCAATGAAATCTTCTTCCACATTCTGTTCCACCAGCTTCAGGTTCTGTCCCGTATATTCCGTTGCAAATTTATCTGCCACAAAATAATGCACCTTCAGTACCTCTGTCGTCCGTCTGTGAATGTGACCAGTAGACCTGCAAACAAATGGCAGCTCAGATTAGAAACACTCAGTATTGGTGCTGTTCCTACAAAAAGCACAATAGCTGGAAAACCTGCTGTAAGAACAGAAAATGATGGAAACTCAGTAGGTCAGGGAGCATCTATGGAGAGAGAAATGGTTAATATTTCAGGTAGAGAACTGCATTTCAGTGCTTTATAAAACACCCATGTATTCTATTTTACACTGCAAATTAAGACAATACACCTTTTCTCACCTCACTCAATCTTTTGTTTAAAAATATCCCTTAGATACTGGAGGTGATGTCTATCCTGAGATAAAGGGTGGTACAGAAAAGCATGAAACAATGCGCTGTCTGATGGTCCACCTTTTTCACTGGTGAAAAATAACATTTGTGCGGTCAATTGCGAGCACAAACTCACATCCTACAGACTTTTTTAGGACAATATCCTGCTGATATTTGAAACATTTGTATATAAATTTAAATATTTAAATTAGTATGTGATAGTTGAAAGGTGTAGAGAGGCAGGAAATGTCTTATACCCCAGTCACCCTGATGGTTGTGTTATTGCAGCTCACACCTGGGTAAGCTAAGACATCTGCCGTTCTCTACTCACCCTCTTTCCTCTCTTCTTAAAGCGTGGGGTTATATTTGCTACCTTCCAGTCAACAGGGACCTTTCCAGGATCTATAGATTTATCAAAGATAATCCCCAATGTATCCGCTATCTCTGTTGCTACTTCCTTCCTGAGGCTCATCTGGTCCAGAAGATATATCAATTCAGTCCAGATAAAGTGTCATATATGACCTATTAACTAATACAAATTGCTTTTAGTCACATACAGGTGGAAGGACAGGTAGTGTTGAAGAAGCAGAGACGCTGCAGAAGGACTTGGACAGGCTAGGAGAGTGGGCAGAGAAGTAGCAGAAGGAATACAATACGGGAAAGTGTAAGGTTATGCATTTTGGGAGGAAGAAGAGGCGTAGACTATTTTCTACATGGGGAAAGGCTTCAGAAATCTGAAGTATATAGGGACTTAGGAGGCCCAGTTAAAGATTCTCCTAAGGTTAACATGCAGGTTCAGCTGGCAGCTAGGAAGGCAAATGCAATGTTAGCATTCATATCAAGAGGGCTAAAATACAACAACAGGGTTTTTTTCTATTCACTGTGGGAAGTGAGCATCTCTGACTGGCCAGGGTTTATTGCCTGTCCCTAGATGCCATTGAACTGAGTGGCCTACTAGGCTATTTCAGTGGGCAGTTGACAGTCAACCACATTGCTGGGAGTCTGGAGTCACTTGTAGGTCAGATCAGATAAGGACGGCAGGTTTCTTTCCCTGATAGACATTCAGAGCCAGATGAGTTTTTCCGAGAATCAACAATGGTTTCATGTCATCAGTAGATTCTTAACTTGAGATTTTTTATTGAATTCAAATTCCATCATCTGCCATGATGGGATTTCAACCCAGAACATTTTCTGAGTTTCTGGATTAATAGTCTAGCGATAATATCACTACACTATTGTCTCCCTGTTTAGTGCTGAGGCTGTATAAGGCTCTGATCAGATCACATTTGGAATATTGTGAGCAATTCTGGGCTCTGTATATAAAGAAGGATGTGTTGCCATTGGAGGGGATCTAGTGGAGGTTTACAATAATGATCCCAGGGATGAGGGGCTTGTCATATGAAGATCTGTACTTGGAGTTTATAAGGATGACAGGAGATCTCATTGAAACTTACAGAATACTGAGAGGCCTGAATAGAGTGGACATGGAGAAGATGTTTCTACTAGTAGGAGAGACTAGGACCTGCAGTAAAGGGGCAATCCTTTGGAACTGAGATGAGGAGGAATTTCTTTAGCCAAAGGATGGTGAATCTGTGGAACTCATTGCTGCAGAGGGCTGTGAAAGCCAAGTGATTGAATGTCTTTAAGTCAGAGATGGATAGGTTCTTGATTAGTAAGGGGGTCAAGTGTTACAAGGAGAAGGCAGGAGAATGTGGTTGAGAAACATATCAGCCATATCAAATGGTAGAGCAGACTTGATGGGCCAAATGGCATAATTTTGCGTCTATATCTTACGGTCTTATAGGTCCTCAGTTACGCGAGTTCTTTGATCACTTAGTAGTTTCGGAACATTTTCCGTATCTTCGCCCATGAAGACAGATGGAAACTAACTGTTTAATTTCTCCGCCATTTCCTTTTTCTCCGCTATAGACTCCCCTCTGTTTGCATCAGTAATGGGCTCACATTTGTCCTTACTAATCATTTTCCTTTCACAGATCAAGAAACTGCTACAGTTCTCCTGTATGTTCCTTGACAACTTGCTTTCTTGTTATCTTATCCCTTTCCTTATCAGTTTCTTGGCACCCTTTTGCTGGGGCCCTAATACCTCCAATCCTCAGGCTTTTTACTATGTCTGGCACTTTCCAAAACTATTAAAACTCTCACTCCTTTCTCTGAGGTTTCTGGTCTCCTGCTCACTAACCTTGCTGCTTTTCTCAATATTTCAACTCTCCCTTGCCCCCTTAATTTCCACAAATTTCAAACTGTCCAAACTTCTGATGCTTCTACCCTGTTCTGTCCTGAATGTCCTGCCATCCAAAATATCACACTTAAAATCTTAAGCCACATCTGCAAATCTCTCCAAAACCTCAAACTAATTTGATTTGGCAGCTACCTTAAGTTTGCTCCCAAAATACCTCCACAGCTCTCTCCCTCCACCTTTCGAAATGTCCTTAAAATCACATCTTTTCAATTAAATCTGATGGTTTCTCTGTTCCTGAATCAGTAAGTATTTCGCTGACTTACAAAGTGATTTTGTTTTATGTTAATGGTGTTATATGAATGCAGATTATTTGCTAGACTCACTGACAACACTTTGCAGGAGGAGGAGAAGGAGAAAGGGAAGTCATTTAACATAACTTGTTGGTAAGGGATGCACCTAAATATTCTTAACTTGACACAACTAACTGAAATCAATGCCCATGCAAAACTCTCAGTGCCTGTAACGACTATGGAATACAGTCCATGAAGACACTGCCACCTGTTTAATGGTTAACTCCAGTGGCCAAATCACCATGAAAAAGTTTCTGCAACCTATCAAGCCAAATTACATTAATGTTCTTTCCAGTTTAACCAATATTCACGTTTATTGGGTTGTTTAAGCTAAAGAAGGGACCTGATGTCCTCATGATGCTGAAGAAAGAAGCAGATTTTATCCAACAGTGAATGCATGGTTTTACTTACGGCCTGTAGCTCAGACTGTATGGAGGGCTCGACACCATCATTTGACTGATCACAGAGACAAGAACCAGGATCAGAATTGGCATCAACTGTACAAGGAGTGCCAATCCACCCTGCTAAAGAAAACAAGAAGCTAATCAGATAACACAGACACCCGGAATATTTAATTGGTACAAATGTCATTCATACACAAACAATGACTTAAGTATAGCAACACTTTCTGACCTTGTCTCTTCCATACATACACACAATATTCCCTGAGTGCACTTCTAATAATCCTGAACCCAGTTGTTGACAACATCTTTTTATAAAATTTGTTCACAGGATGTGGAGGTTGCTGGCTAGGCCAGCAGTTATTGCTTATCTTTTGAGAGGTAGTGATGAGCTGCTTTTATGAACTATTATTTTCGGAGGTGGGTACATTGTGCTGTTAGGGAGGGAATTGCAGGAATTTGACTCAGCAACAGTGAAGGAGCAGCAATATCTTTCCACGTCAGGATGGTGTGTAGAGGAACTTGCAGATATGATGCTCCTATACATCTCCTTATGTGTGATAGAGGTCACTGGTTTGAGATTTTGAGAACCTGTCTAGTTCCTTCAAGAAAACCAGAAGGTGGTGGGTGTTTGGAATTCGCTTCCAGAAAAGATGGTAGAGACATAAATAATAACATGAATAAGAAATATTTGGAGGGATATGGGTCAAGCACAGGCAGGTGGGCCTGGTTCAGCTTGGAATTATAGTTGGCATGGACTGGTTGGACCAAAGGGTCTGCTCCGTGCTATATAACTCTATGACTCTAGAACACAGCATTGCATTTTAAAAAATACAAGGAAATCTGAAGTGCTATAATCCACAGGGCTATGAATCAAGAGATGGAAAGTGAAATTAAGCTGGATAGCTGGCACAGACATGATCAGCTAAATAGCTTTATCCTATGCCATAAATGTTCTATGATTCAATGGAACGTATGATGTAGTCCTGAACAAGTAATGCAGACATTTGTCACACTCTCCTGGTTTCTATGGACAGATCTGACAGGATGGAGTAGCTTACTCAGTTGAGTTAACCACAGTGGTGGCGCACTGGAGTCGCCTTTAGACCTGGACAGGTAAGGATGACAGATTTTACTTTTCTTACGGACATGGATGATCAGTTAGATTTTTGTGACAACTTTAGAGCGTCAGTCACTTTTACTGAGGCCTTTTAAAATTGAATTCAAATTACTAGGGTGACCTTTGAACTCAAGTTCTCTGGACTATCTGTCTGGTAGCATCTGCAGAACAGAGTCTTGATCAGTCTCCAAATGAAACATGTAAGTTTGGTTGGGGAACTGCATCCAAGAAGAATACATTGGCCTTTGAGGGGCATCAGCACAGATTCACAAGAATGATATCGAGTGTAAATGTTACATTGTGAGGAAGATACAGAAAAACATAGGACTGATTATAGTTGAAACCACAAATAAAATAACACTTGGGAAACAATTCTAAAACCAATTTTTAAGCGAGTAGATGTTGAAAAAAATGATAAATGCATTTCTACTTCTGTAAGAGATCCTCAGATTCCTGTATACCTCAGGTGATGATTCCAAAGGTTGCACAGGCTACACAGAGATACTAAGAACTCTGCAGACAGCTCAAGTAATTAACTTTATTTCAGAAAAAAACTAACTAAAAGCTCATTATGGAATCTTAAACACTGTAATTAGTCTGGATGTTTGATACAGCAATCAGAGCACAGCAAAGTTTAAAACATGTGTGATTTCCTTAAAACAAAATGGCCAATTGCTTCCCAAATTAAAGGATGCTTGCATTTATGTAGAATCCACCTAGAAAACTCCACACCACTTCTTTGCAACCTTCAATTATGTCTTAAATGATTCCAACAATTTCCTTCTACTATTATCAGAGTTTAAATGTTTACATTAATACAGATTGGATAAACTTCATCTGTATAAAAGGAGCTTTCTTCAAAGTTGAGGGGCGATTTAATTGAAGTGTTTGAAACGTTAGAAAGATTGGTAGGGTAAATAAATACAAAGCTGCTGATGTTCTAATGGGAGATATCTAATGGGAGCAGTGGAGTCCAAATCCATGATAGCTTTTAGAAGGGGATGGGATTAAAAATGTGATTTAAGCATCAATTTTGAATGTTGTGAGAGGGGGCAAGGAATGGGATTGCATGTACAGTTCCTTCAAATAGTTGGCTCTGTCTTTCTTCAGTGCTGCACGATTCTGTATACTTACATCACCCTGCTGATCCCGTCGCTCAGGTCTGTGGTACGTGTAACGCATTCGCCCATTACTATATACATGAACATTGCCTGAAGAGGAGAGAGGGGTGTGTGGAAGAGAAGAAATAATAGGATGAAGAGGACATTCAATGTGCTGAGGTTTTCAATTAGTTAGAATTGCTATGTCATTACCTTTATAAATGAAACTTAGGAAGCAACCTTACGTTGATTTGACAGCACAGAGACAGGCCATTCAGCCCAGCACATCTATGTCAGTGTTTATGCTGAGATTCATCTTAACATTTATCATCTAACCTCGTCAACATTGCCTTCTGATCCCTGCCCCTCAGATGCTTATCTGGCTTCTCCTTAAATATATCAATTCTAATCACCTGTGCTAGCAAGCAACATGATCTAATTTCTCCTGTATTTTCTTTACAATTTATTTGTGACCAGTTTACAGTAATGTCACCTGGTTCTAGAGGCAGAAGTGTGTAGCTGTTGGATTTATACATAATAAAATGTAACTGTTTTACATCTGTAAATATATAAATCTGGATACTAAATGTGGAAACATTTCTGCATTCAGTCCCATTTTAATGGAGTTTGATAATTAGTTGAATGACAGTTCTCTTTCAAGGGAGTTTCAACAATGTAGTTATTGATTCTTCATTTGTCCACAATGATTCCAGGAGAAAACCCATAAGTAAAAAGCTCAGAATATATCTATCTTTTATTCCTACAAAATGCATCTTTCACCCTTTGAAGCAATAGATTTAAACCTGTTTTCCCGATTTAAAATCATATTCCCAGAATCAATTTGAATTTGATTCAGAAATTTCAATCAACCATCAATGACAGTCAGATATTGACGAGTTCTGCATTGTTTTGATACCAAAGCTAAATCAATCACAACATTTGCCAAGGTATTTGATTGACTAAAGTATTAAAGATGAGATAGGCAAGGGAACACTGTTACTAGCTGAGAGGACACGTGATTTAAGATGTTTGGACAAGGAGTACAGAAAGGATGTGAGAGAAAGGTTTTTAGCCAGCAAACAGTAATGACCTGGAACAACCCAGCTATGAGGGTGGTGATACTGAGGGCATCAATGATTTCAAAAGGAAAATGGATGGGTTCCTGAAAGAAATAAAGGTCTTTGGGGATAAAACAGAGAAATGGGATTAACTTAATAGGCAGAATGGCCTCCTTATGCACTGTAAATATTCTAAATGGTACAGGAGAACAGGCTTTATAGAGTTTCAGTATGGAGTCAGTACTAATATAAGCACAATGGATCGAATGCTGTCTCCTGGCTTCAAAGGGTTTAATAGCAAATTCTATGTGGAGACAATAAGGCTGAAGTATATGCTTTAATCAGCTGGTTAAAATTTATACACAGCTTAAAGACCAATCTCTGAAGGACTTTAATAAGAAAGTAAGTAACTGACAATGGTAATTCCTAAATGAGCGCAACTGTCAAACTTGTCTAACTGATAGTGATTCATTTCTATTTCTAGATAGAATATTTGATACACAGATTGACCTCAGTTAACCTGGTGACATTGTTACAGTAACTGAAACTAAAATTCCAACAATATTAGCAATAGCTTTTAGCTGTAAGTTATGTGATACTTTTGTAGTTAGGTAAGCTGTTTACAAGTTAACTGATACATATTGCAGTTAACAGATGCTTCCTCAATTGCGACCAAAACATACCAGAGGGAAATCCGCCACCAAAGAACATGTTGAAGAGGTCTTCGGGTGAGATGTCTGCCTCAAAACCTCTATGGTAGTCAGAGGCACCATGACTGTGCCGGTTAGCAGCCTGCTTCTCATCACCGTACAAGTCATACTGTTTCCGCTTCTCTGGGTTGCTTAGCACTGCGTATGCATTCCCAATAGCTGGAGGAAAGGAGCAGTGGATCAGAGCAATAAAGGGCGAGAGGAAAAGCAGCATCTCTAAACCAAAGACTTCCCCCTCCAGTTGCCTGATATAACTATTCAGCCATTCAAATCCAAACCATTAAATGATAATGTAATCCAAAGTTCCAAACACCGCCTTTCAACCCAGCAATAATAAACGATTTAAGAATTTTTTTTCCTTACAGCTCATTCTTTTGCTAAAGTAACTTACAATGGAAATCTGACACCAGCTGGATGCTCACTCACCTTTGAATGCCTCGGTAGCTCCTGGTGCCTGGTTCTTGTCAGGGTGAAACTTTAGAGCCAGTTTTCTGTAGGCTTTCTTCAGGTCCTCCTCTGTCGCATCTTTACTTAGCCCTAAGATTTCGTAGTAATCCTTACACTTCTTTATTCTGTACAGCAGGCAGAAAACACAGCAAGATTTCAGTATCTCATGAATAAACACAGGCAGAGTCAGCATGAGGAATTAAACTATTCTGATGGAAATGGTGCGCTTTTCATACAAAGAATGGGGAGATGCAAAATAAGCAAAGTGGTATAAATTTAAAGGGAGTGCAAGCACAGAGAGACCTGGGGATAAACTTAGAGGTTCTTGGAGGTGACAGGACAGGATGTGAAGGTGTTTAAAACATAAAAAGATCCTTAGCTACATAAACAGGAGAAAAAAAGAAATGAAGTAATGTTTAATTGTGTCTCATCTGGGCAAGCCACTCTAGGAAGGATGTCAAAACAATGACAAGAGTGCAGAGGATATTTACGAGAATGGTATCAGGAATGACGACAAGGGTTGCTTTTCTTGGAGCAGATAAGGTTACGTAGACATTTTGTGGAGGTATTCAAAACCTGGAAAGAACTTAAAAGAGCAAAGAGAGAGAAAATGTTTCCTGTGGTTGAAGGATTGACAGACAAGATTGGGGGTGAGTTGTTATGCTCTGGAATACTCTGCCTAAAAGGACAGTAGAAACCAATTCAACAGTAACTTTCAAAAGCAAACTGGTACTTGAAGGAGGGAAACGATTTGTAGAGCTAAAGGGAAAGGGCAAGGCAATGGGATTAATTCATTAGTGCTTTCAAGAACATTGGCAGACACACATTGGGTCAAATGGTCAACCGATTTCACACTACAGGTCTTACATGAGCGTTCTGAACGGTTTAGATCATCAGAATGCAGCTGAATTGACTGCACTGCCTTGGAATCACTTGGATTTATCACTTTCCAATTTTCCCGTTGCCTCTATGGGAATTGTGTCAGCCTATATTTAGCATCAGCCTTGCCCTGGGATGAAATAGAGGCTGCAAAGTTTTGAAATGCCTCAAAACTCGGTCAAACAATTATGGTCTACAAAAAGTGGACTGCATCCCGTTGTTGATGACTGCATGCAACAGAACCCCCACATGTATACAGTTTAGATATAAGCATGGGTGAAATGTTCAAGAGAAGTAGCTAATCATTTTTAATCAGGGAGAGGTATCCCAACGATCCAATGATGCGGAGGTGCCGGTGTTGGACTGGGGTGGACAAGAACAGAAGTCACACAACACCAGGGTATAGTGCAACAGGTTTATTTGAAATCACAAGCTTTTGGAGCATTGCTCCTTCATCAGGTGAAGTCACTTCACCTGACAGAGGAGTAGCGCTCCGAAAGCTTGTGATTTCAAATGAACCTGCTGGACTATACCCTGGTGTTGAGTGATTTCTGACCACGCCCCACAATCCTAATCAAAGTTTTTGAGAGTTAGCCAGTACATTTTGAAGAAGCACCCCAGGCTCATCTTCCCCCCCAGCCCTATGAAGAAAAACATATGGCCCAGAATCTTTTCCTGCTCCCTGGTCACTCTTGCATGGTGTACCTCTTCACGGCCTCGAGTTGATCCACAGTGTAACTTTTTGCTGTTTCTCCTGCTGCCTCCCCAGATCCAGAGTTGGAACATGTGCTTCTTTTCCTTTGGTGACATTCTGATGCATCTGTGGTCTCTGATGGGGTGAAGTTACCGGATGGATGGCCATTTTGCGTCATGGATTCTATCAAATCTGGAAAGAAGGAAAAGAAAATGGCATTACTCTGAAGGCAAGGTCCAAAACAGTGATGCCCGGAGAGACTTGTGACAGACTTTTGTGCGACCGTTTCACTAAATCTGAAAATAATAATTTATTTACATTAGCTCAAAACAGAAATAGAAAAGATTTCTTCTATGACTCTCCAACTATTTTTTCCAATTATTTATGCAACTCCACTGCATGTCAAAGTTAGAAAACGGTTCCTGTTATGGGTCAAACAGAATGGAACAACTGTTTGACCCTTGATTGAGAGCAAGTAATTCTCATTGAACTTTGCATTTAAGAGCTGTGTTCATGTAAAAAAAAAAGATTCGATGTTCATAGGGATGCACTATTTTCCCACTAGCTTAATTTGTTTTACTCCCCTCCCTTGTTTCCTGCCCTTTTTGTTTTTATTTCTGTTACTGCTACACTGTCCCTGATGGACAATGAAGGCAGTTTGGGTGATTAGGTAATTGTTGGTTTCACAAAATAAAACTTAGAAAAGGGGAATTGGCTTCTAGACAAAGAAAGATAGAAACTCATGTTTGTGCTAATCTGTACATTTATGATAAAACCCTTGTAAATATCAAAGCCTTTTGCTATCTATTTCGAACTGAGATGAGGAAGAATTTCATTAGCCAGAGGGTGGTGAAACTGTGGGACTCACTGCCACAGAAGGCGGTGGAGGCCAAGTCATTGAGTGTACTTAAGACAGAGATAGATAGGTTCTTGATTCGTAAGGGGATCAAAGGTTATGGGGAGAAGGCAGGAGAATGGGGTTCAGAAACACATCAGCCATGATCGAATGGCACAGCATAATTAATGGGCTGAATGGCCTAATTCTGCTTCTATTTCTTATCATCAATGTTAAAAAGAAGAATTTGGTTTTTTAAACACTCATTCTCATTCCTAAACACAAAAGCTGGTATCCCTGAAAATCATTCTTAAACACAACATTCGGAATTTGTTTCCATATTTATGGTGAGGTCACTGAAATGCATGAAAATCAACTTAATGATGTTCAGATTATTACCCAGATATTTGTGAGACTGTCATGTATATAAGCAATGGGAGCCTGAAATGTTTCATTTGACACCGAACAATAGATTAAAAAAGATGAAGTCAACAAAGTCCTACCAGTCCACAGGGCTGCTCTCTCATTAGAGAAAGCCAACTGGTGGGGAGTTTAACCTTAGGGTCACCATGTCTCAGGCAAGGTGTGAAATTGAGAAGGTGGGACCTTCATGGTAACCTCAGCAGGTGCAAGAACTGAACCCATGTTGTTGGCATCACACTCCATCGTAAACCAGCTGTCCAGCCAACTGAGCTAACTCAATGAATCCCATCACCTTCAGTAAGATTCAAGTCTTACATGTCAGACTAGGGGCGAATAATTCAGTCTGTTTCCTTCTTTGCAATTTTTATTTTCGGAGTATCTTCTCTTCAACTAAGTCTAAAGAACCTCAGTTGCACTTGATGAAAGATGGGGAGGATCATCTGCAGCCAACAAAATAATGAAGCTCTGATGTCTCTTCAGGCACAGTATTCTTGTGCAGGAGGCTCACACAGCTCCTGCCTAATTCAAATCAACTGTCTATCAGAGATTTGGGCCACTGTGATGTCTGTAAAATTGATTCCTAAAGAAATTAAGAACTACAGTTTCTTTAAAGCTGTGCTTGATGCCTGAGCTGCAATTTGCACTCACTCTCAAGCTCTCTGATTAAGTGTTGCTCCAGTTCAGTTAGAATCTAAGATTTAGAAAAGTATTTTCAGTTTTCCTATGACAGAAGTACTGTAATACTACAAAACAAATGTCACAGTGAATCATTATCTAGGTATTAATTGAATGAAAGAAATACATTTCTCTTAATATGATCTAATGCAGGTTGCTTTTGTGAATATTTTATTCAGGGACAGTATATGCTCATGAAGTCATACATTTAAGCAATAAGCCTAAAGTTTATTGTTAGCATTCCTACATCCAAGAGTGAAGGTGATGCGATCAGCCCCACTTCTGACAGGTTGGGGAGTAGAGATTAGAATATGGGTTGGCATCAAATGGAATACTCATGACTGGACAGAATATTTACTGACTTGGGGAAATATCTTTTGTCAAGCAATTCAGGAAAGTTGGGATCAAGCCCCATTTCAGATACTTCTCGGCATAGAGCGAGACCCTCAATTCTGAATACTGGATTGATGTCCATTATTTTGATGGCTGCAGATGACCCTTCCCATCTTTCATCAAGTGAAACTGAGGTTCTTTAGACTTATTTGACGAGAAGATACTCTGAAAATAGAAATTGTGAAGATGAAAACAGACTGAGCTATTCGCCCCTAGTCTGACATGTTCGACTTGAAATCTTAAAATCCTTACATTGCAGATAGAGGACATTTGGTACCAACCCTCCGATCAGCATCCAACCCCCTCCTCCACCCTACCCCTACATTTCCCATGACTAATCCACCTACCCAGTACAAACATGGACAGTACAGGGCAATTTAGCATGGCCAATCCACCTAACCACATCTCTTTGGACTGTGCGAGGAAACCCACACAGTCACAAGGAAAACATGCAAACTCCACACAGATGATCGCCCTAGGCTGGAATCAAACCCTGATCCCTGGCACTGTGAGGCAACAGTGATATCCACTGAACCACTGTGCCACTGGTCTTGCCTACAGGAAGAATATAACGAATGCACAAACATAGAATTGACGCTCAGGAGTACATGGATTTATAAACATAGACTGCAAATAAAATTGAAAATGAAAGAACAGCTGTCAACAATTCTAAAAGCAGCTTTTATGCAAATAAGCATTAAATTAAATGTGTTTCTGCCTACTCCTTGCTCCTCCAAAAGACATTTGGCCACCTGTATGCCTCAGTGCTGATTCTGTAAATTGCACAGCCTACATAATAACATCACAGCCTTACAATGAGCTCACATAAATGCCATTATTTCAGATTACTTTTAAGTATTTTCAAACCCTGTTATTAGTCTAGCATTTTGGTTAAACGATCAGAACAGAACAAATATATTTTAATTTCTATACAACAATACGACCCTAAACTTATCAAAACTGTAAGGATATTTGTGTTTATGCAGAATCCATCTGGGAAGACATCAACACTGACAGCATGCTCACCTGTGAGCCAGAAACATGTGGGTTCAATTCCAACTCAACAGACACTCTGGTGCAGTACTAATGGAGTGCTAAACTGTCAGAGGTACCTTTTCTTTTGGGAAGAGTTGTTAAACTGACATTATGTCTGGCTTCTCAGGTGTATGCAAAAGATTCAATGCCACTGGCTGAAGAAGTGCAGGGGAAATCGCACCAGGGCACTGGGCAATATTGATCCCTTAATCAACATAACAAAGACAGATGATCTGGTCATTACTACATTGCTGTTTGTGAGGGCTTGCTGTGTGCAAATTGACTGTCATATTTCCTACAATATAATAGGACATGCTGCTTCGTTGGCTTTAATATACTGGGAAGGACTGAGGAGGTAAAAGGTGCTATATAAATACAGACCATTAATTATGCCAAAGCTTTTGGTCCTGCTACAGTTAAAGTTTAAAGAGTAGAACTGAAGTAAGTTGTTTAAAGTAAGTAAGCTTGTACTCACTTGAATTTCAAAGCAGAGATCTAACCAAGAATGAAGGGATTCAGTTGAGTACTTACAGAGCCAACCACATTCTCTGATTGGATAACCCAAACAAAAAGAGAAGCAATCTCAAACTTAGAACTAGATTGTTTGAGACTGAAATCAGGAAGCACTTTTTTACACAAGAGTAGTGAAAATTTAAAACTCACTTGTTCTACAAATTCTCAAGAGAGATCAGTAGTTTTTTTTGTTTGGTAAGGATATTGATGGATTTTGGGGGGGTGCGAGGAGGAGGAATTTGGGGTGTGAAACAGAGGGGGAGGGTGGGAAGTGAAGCTGAAGTGCAGATCTAACCAAATGATGTAACTGGATCAAGGTGCTGAATGGCCCCTGCTGTTCCATTGTTTTCACCGTTACTACAGACAGAGAAATTCAGAAAAAGAAGTAGTAGGCCGTTCGGTCCTTTGAGCCTGCTTCCCCATTCAATGTGATTATAGCTGATCATACAACTCTGTACCCGCTTTTGCCCCATATTCTTCTGTCCCCTTTGGCCCTAAGAACTATAACTACCTCCTACTTTAAAATATTCAATGTTTTGACATAACCACTTTCTGTGGCAGAGAATTTCAGAGACTCAGCACTCTCAGGGTGAAGAAATTTCTCCTCATCTCAATGCTCACTGCCTACCCCATATCCTTAGACTGTGACCCATGGTTCTGGTCTCCCTGGTCATCAGGAACATTCTTCCTGCATCCACCCTGTCTAGTCCTGTGAGAATTTTATACTAAACAGGTCAAAGCTTTGATCATGTTTTGTGTGAAAGGTTTTCTGAAATTAATGCTAAATTCATCTTAGTTTGAGCATGTGCCCACTTGACTCCCTCATTATTTACTTGGAAGAAATATGCCGCATTCAGCTTTTCCAAACCTTTAATTATTCTGTACACCCAGTCGTCTTTGAAACACCTCTTTACACTTCTGAAAAGACTAAGTTCCACCAGGCTTTCTCAATTTCTCAGATCTGTCATGTCAAAGAACAATCTTTATTAACCTCTTTACTTGTCCTGTAGGCTGAAGGAGTGTTGGCCAGGGCACAGAGAGAGGTTCACTCTGTTCAACTATTGCCAAGGATCCAGCAACCTCGGTTTCAACAAGTGGAAGCCTCTTTCAACAACAACGTTATGGAACTGGATTCAAGTTGGTCAGACCAGTGGAGGTGTTAAGTTTCCCTTCGCAGACAACAGTGAATTAGTTTGGGTTTCCTTAACTTTCTCATTATTTTCTCACACTGGCCAAAGACTTTGAAAAACAATCTGTTTCACAACTTGCAACAATGAGATTTAAACTCACAACTTGAGATATCAGTTCAGTAC